TCCAAGGAAAAGATGTCTGGCTCTATGGTGTCCCTGAAGACCTCGACGCTGTACCCGAATTCAACTCTTCAGGGGTTGATGGATTGTCAGCCTTGGCTGGACAAGCAAGAAGAAATAGTGGTCCTCCCTCGCGTTCGTCATCGTCCCGGGCGCGAGAGAACCCAAGGATCCCCCAATGGCAAATGTTGTGTGATAAGCTCCGGAACACTTTCATCTGGGGTGCAAAGATTGCCGAACTCGACGGTGTCAGCACGGTGAAGTGGGTTGCGGACTTTGGTCAGACATCGGCACAGGAGCGCCTCGTCATCGCAGCCCGGGGCATCTCCCCTGGAAAATCCATCATTGAGGAGGACGACATCGACTTCATTGACGGTGGCAGAGTTACCCTCCTAGACTTTGACTACAATATCGAAGATGGTGTTAGAACGGAGATTGAGATTGAAGTGGGCACCAAGGAGCCTGAGGTGCTCGAAGAGGAGCAAAGAGATATCGATACCGAAGTGGCTATTGTACGTCGCAGGACTGTGGCCCAGAAACGGGGAGATCGCGGTGCCTTGATGCGTGCAGCTACGAGCGCTGCAGCCCGGAGCAACCCTTTACCGTCTATGCCGTCGATGCCACCGATGCCGCCCATGCCACAACCCCGAGAAGAACGACAAGCCGACAACGACAACGTCGAGGACGACCCTCTCGTTCCGAGGCGAATTGGAGCAGCCCCACGTATCAATGTGCAAGAGCCAACCTCACCTTCGGCGCCTGGGGCAGGCGAGACCGCCTCGATGATTGGAGAAGAAGAGGCAGAGGAGGCAGTCGAAGCCCCTTACTCGCATGACGGGCCCCGCTCCACCAACACTCTCCGTCGCGCTGCCACTGCTGCTGCTATGAACCGAAGCCGCCACCCGCAACCGCCGGCCGCTGGACCGGTAGAGTATCGGCGAGCTGACGGCCGACGTGAGCATCCTCACGAGAGCGACGCCGACAACTGGGTTCCACCGCCGCCTCCCTACCAAAAGGACGACCCTGGTGACTTGCCCTCTTTCCTACGGAACGCTGTCATTACACCTGGCGGTGTGCAGATACCGAGTCAGCCAGCGAGGACCCAAACAGCCGCGCCTGCCATTGGCGCATCGGCGTGGGCTCTCCCGACGCGACCTGCTCTATCTCAATCATCAGGCCGCCCTCTAAGCTATCAAGAGCCGGTCAACAGCCCCCCGGCTAATGCCAGCTATCATCTGCGTATAGCTAGTGACTCGACGCTCATGAGCCGGCCGCGCACTGCAGATTCGGCAGTTCGTCCGACGCACAGCCCTTCGGCCCATGTCGATCTTGACGATGATATCTATGACGTCTCGCCACCAGACTCCCCACGGATGGCGGCGAGAAGACAGAGCGAAACTCATGCCATCTCTCCTGACGACCAGCGGATGGTCAGCCAAGTTTCAGAGGCTCGACCATCAAGTTCTGGGACACACCAAGATTCTGAGGCAGTTTCTCCCGAGCAATCAGTCGTATCCCCGGTCGCTCAGCAGGTTCAGGCGCCTCCCTCGCTGGGTTTGGAGATTCCATCAGGTTCCTCTGCAAATACTGCGGGGCTGCGACAGCCACAATCAGCATCTACTACTGACTTGCCGTTAGTCAGACGCCTTTCCAATGCGTCAACTTGGCCTAGATCTGCGCAGCCAGGTGATGGATCTCACCTTCGTCCAGATGGCGGTCCCCTAAACAGCCACCCCTACTCCGCTCCTGCGACTGACGCAAGAGTCGACGACATTGCCGGGTCTTCACTGCCACCATTCCCCATGGCAGATCAATTGGCCAGTCTGCGGGGCCATGAGCAGCTGCCTCCATCTCGACGGTTTTCTGGAAACTTCAGTTCAGTCCAGCGCGTACCAGTGGGAAGCCGCCGGCCTGGATCTCGTCGGGTATCTGTCCCACAGCCTGTCTCGCAGCCTGCTTCAGAAGCCCAGGGACAAGCTCAGAACCAGACTCAAGTTGCCGAATCACAGTTCGAAGACCAACCCTTGATCATCAGCACACCTAGCGGCGTCACTGGCGCATTCGATGCGCCTACTCGTCAGCAATCGAACCGGAGAACCGAGATGCCTCTACTGGCCCCGATCCCGCGTCATCCACGCCCAACCCAATCGGGCCCGGTACGACCAACAGTGGAACGTCTCGAAACGATATACAGCACAAACTCCACAAACCGGCCTGAAGCTTCTGGCAGCAGAAGTCTGATGCCGGCATGGTTACAGGCGCCGTCGTCGTCTGCGGGCCGGCAGTCGCATTCTTCGGTCAACAGAAGACCCAGTCGTGCCGAGCGGAGTGCAGCTAAGAACATCAAGGACGCGAAACGGCGCGGTTGGAATGGTTCCCAAAAGAAGAAGAAAAAGAAGAAGCAGGTTGATCACGAGGTCGCGAGCTCTACTGCGTGGACGGAAGTTTCCACGTCTAGTAGGAATGCCACTCATGGTAAATCAGAGAAGGATAAGAAGTGTGTTGTGATGTGAGAACACTATTGAATGTTGGCTCATTGGAGGTATTGTGATGCGGCGACAATTGCTCCAAGGCTTTTTGCATGTTTGAATCTTCATGATTGGAAGTATAGCACCGGAGTTGGGGCATGGAAGAACACGTTTGAAAGATAGAGTGGAAGCCACTGGGCTGTACCCATTGCATTGACGATTCAGATACGGGAGGGAAAAGCGGTATTATTATGGCTTCCAGGGCATGCTATTGTCTTGTTGACTCTGCTATAAAGAAAGATAGGAAACTTGTAGCTCCTCACTCGCTTGAGATCGATGTGAGGTTGGTGCGTCGATCTATGATACCAATTTCTTTACGCACACACGCATTATACTACATATTCAAGTTTTTGAGGTTATTTTGCCTTCCACGTGTCCATCCGCTTTGAGGACGCTCATGGAGATCTCAAGAAAGTTCGTTGTGCGATGCCCTGATTCCTGGCCCGCCACGATGCCTACCTCATTCTGCGAAAGTTTTTGCATCTGGGGATCCCTCGCAAACTGCACTGGGGAGCGAGGTACAAATAGATGGACGGTTGTAATATTGTTGAGCTTGCCAGGACCGCCTTGGCTGTAGAAATCATTTTAAGAAGGAGCGAGCCATGGTTATGATATGCATTCGGCAAGCGATAGACAGTTGGTATATTAAAAGAAAGGAAATTGAACGATACTCCGACATTCCGCCCGTCATAGACCGTCCTGGTCGGAAGGGCGGACCTTGAACTGGCAACCCTGGGTGGTCGCCTATAAAAGGGCATTCTCTAAACAACTTGTTTCTCTTCTGCTCAGCAGTAATTCATTCCCGCAACTTTCTAAGGAACATCAAGTCGGAGAATCATGACTTGGACATATAGTGTTTCTCAGAATCCCAAGTCGTGAGATTCGTTGACGAACACGAGCAGAACGCAGAACAGCTAAGAATAAGGGGTAGTAGAGTTGGGATCAGGGGCCGCTTCCTGGGTTTAACGGCAAGGCGATGAGTGATGCATTGTGGCGATGAAGGAAGGAGTATCAGTAAAGGAAGAGTACCCGCGCATTCATGATGGCTTCCCTTACTAGCAGCCTACTGAGAATGGGGTTTTGGGTGTTTGAGCTCGCTTTGAACTAAAAGAGTACTGTTTAGACCTTTTTTTAAAAGGGTTCTGCACATGGATGTGTGGAAGATAAATAAGAGATGCGATCCGATATGAGTAGTCCCCTTCTGGACTATGCCTTCCCACTGACGGGATTGTGTGAAAGTTCGAGAGGCTTTGGTTTGCTCAAGCGACTTTGAACTTCAAGGGATTCTTTGGTTCTTGATTGGAGGGTTTGTGTGCATAGATGTGTGAACAGGTGAAAGACAACATGAGTTGCTGTTGTCTTTGTCGAGGATGTAACGGACGTCCCGTAATGGCTCCATCAGTAGAGCCTGGGAACCTTGTCATGATGCTTGAAGTTCGCGTGGGAGAGCATCTCATGACTACTCATGACATCCATGAAGCCACTGGTTGGGAAAGGTGTAGTGAGCTTCCTCTATGTGCTGCAGGGATCGATCATATAGTAGATCTCAACACGGCGGCTGGCTTCACGTAGTGTACCAAAAAGTGAGGTGCATTAAAAATTGGCTTTGCCTATAGTACTCCACGGGGGCTGGCTTCCATGACTGGGAAGACGAAAGGTTCTGACCAACCTGGCAGAAGGGTTTTACATTGGGCGAGGAGGACCGTTGATCAGCAAAGTAGGTGGTCAATGTAGTTCAGCCTCCGATCTGAGCGACGACGGTTAAGACCCCTGAGTCGTTTCCAAAATTAGCACTCGGGGGTTAATGGTCTACTCCGTTGCCGGTAGTGGTAGTGACACCCAAGCAGATGGAAGAATAAAACGGGTCGAATCGACAGCGACGTGGTGTTAGGATGTCATCAGCGGCGTGCTTATTTGCTTGTGGTGCCGGGCAAGCAGAGGACCCCTTCGAAATGGAATGCCAAAAATCCGGGTTTTCTTGCACCGTTGGGGGCGGTTCGGGTTCCACACCTTCTAGCGATCGGCTTTCTTGCAGATCTCGGTCGATTCTTGGCCAGAACTCCGGGGGCGCACCCGCGGCATTCTCGACTACCCTGGGAAGCGAATACCACCCGGGCCCATACATGATTTCATTGAGCGGTGCAGTGATACCTGGTCCAAGTGGTCACCGGTGAGAGGGCCGGCCAGGCTATTCGAATCCTGCTCGGTGCTGTGTGCCAAGATTTTGTGAGGTGCTGGCTCGTTGCTGATAGTGGTTGATGTTGGGGGATATGATGAAAGAGTTGGTCTGTCTGGGCCGGAGACGTACTTAGATGACTGTTTCCCCATTTCTGGATAGAAATGCATCTATCCTTTTGGCCAAATTCTTGACAGTCTCTCACTTCTTTACTCTCGCTGTTCTTTTTACGTACTTACACTTCACTCGCTTATACTACACTCGCTATAGAAAGGAACAGAGAGAGAAAAGCAGAAGAGATGGCAAAACGCGACAGCTTGACAGTATGGCTCCCGAAAGAAATGTACGGCTCCGTAGAGCCTCTCGCCGACGATAGATTCATATGGTGCCCGATGCCATTTGACAACTCCCTACCAGTCGAACAAACATCATTCATCGACATGGGCGGAGATGATGAGGACAACACCAACAATAAGGACCCGACACGAATTCCAGACGATGATAAGCCGATGATAGACTACGAGCTTCCCGCCCCGCCGCCCGCGGCCGTATTAGCGGGGCCGTCGACGGACATGTCAATGTCGGAAACCGAATCCGAGCGAGAGTTTCCGATGAGACAGATTAGTCAAAATCTCGGCCGGGGGCGGCGAGGGAGGCCCCGGAAGACGAGGCCCGTTCGGCAACAGCAGCACAAGCATGCCGGGTCCGAGAGCCGGGGGTTTGCGGTACATTTGGGGTTGAATCTTGATATTGAGGTTACCCTCAAGGCGAGGATATTCGGAGACTTGGAAATTAGCGCTTTGTAAGTTGCTTCCTGGAGGTCCTGGGTTAGGGGTAGTGTGTGTACCTGTGCTAACTAACGCTGGTCAAAGTGACGCATTGTGATTACGACTCTGATGGGTTGAAGTGATGATAGATGATAGATGATTGAAAGCGCAGCAACGTGCAAAACGTATTTGAGCGTTTACGACGCGAGGATATACACACAGAACTCGCCAAGACTGGCGTCGCCGAATCGGATGAGCTTCTGTCAGACAGCAAGTAATGCTGCAACACAGCCGGTCCGATGCTGTGGGTTCTCGTACTCTCAGAACACACCAGCGCGGAACGCGATGGCCAAGTCCAAGGCAGCTCAGCTGTCTATTGTATCTTCAAGAAAGAAGAGGACAAGGATCATCGGAGGTGATCCATATCAATCGCTTACCAGAGGACCTCTGTCGAAGCCAGACACTCGGTCATTCTGAAAGACTGCAGTAAGTCGTTATCATGGTGGAATCAGAAGCCAGCGGCCAGCTGTTGAAGACCACCCATATGCGTGTTTGTGGGAAGAAGAGACCGAATAGAGAGTGAAATGCAGATTGGCAGCTAATATGTTGATGTTGGAAAACATCTGCCACCCGGTGCGCCCCTCGGTCTAATTAGAACAGACCATGGGCAGTGGTAATTCGTCTCTTGGTTCAAACTATGATAATGAGATGGGATGCGAAACGAGACATTCTCAATAGTAATAGTAACTACAACATAATGTCATGCCATTTGAGTTGATCAAGTGACTATATTACGAGAAAATGCCAAAGCCTCACGAAAGAAAATGTATGCTTCGCATTCTTGGTAGTGGAAACAGCTGAGATCTTCGCCCTCATCATCAAACCCCGGCGCCGGGCTCGCCCACAGACCACACCCAACTCCCACCCAAAGAGATCGTTCTCGCCCGTCTCAATCTGGTCTAGAACACGCCCCAAACTTCAGCTGTAGTGGAGACAACTCACTATTCTCCCGAAGTGCGAACAAGGGCCCTCCCCTGAAATGTGCGTTTTTAAGCCTATGCAAACCACGCGAGACCTCTAGCGGGCTCCCGGACGCTGAGAACCCATTGGACCGTTCCTGAGGGACCTGAATGTGAGATTTTCCCGTTTGTGAGGTTTATCGAAAGGGTGCGGTAGCGTCTGGGCACTAAACCCAAACCACCAATGGCTTCCAGCCTCATCGCGGCGCAGTGATGGTGTGCAAATCTCCTTGAAGGGGTTTCGCGCCGCCCGGACGGAATAAAGGTGATTTAGCCTGCTTATCTTTTTTTTCTTCTTCTCATTCGTCTTGCCTCTGCGCTCTTTTGCTTCACTCATTCGCTCATTTCGGTGTTTTGTGTTTGGACGACTTGAAGGAGAACCGACCAAGAGATGACCTTAGCATGAGAATACGCCATACCCGTGTCCCAATCTCCCCTTACGATTTATGATATCCGGTGTGCCGTTGTTTGGTTCCAGATAAGCGTCGATAACCGTCTTCTACTCAGCGCGCAAAGAAACAATACTCGACGATCCCGCCACTGCCGAAGTTCCCACAGCTTCACCAAGAAAGACTCAATAGATAGCAGGAGAAGGACAGAAACGAGGTCCCCCGACTACAATCGCATCCGACTACAGCCTTATTTCCAAGAAACACCCCAGAACGACAACAATGGCCCGCAACTCCCTTCTCTCCCGTCTCCTCCTCCTCCTCGCCGTTCTCGCCATCCTCGCGCCCCTCACGGCGGCCCAGCTCTCAATCTACACGGGCTCCGACAAGTACAAGTACCAAGGCTGCTACAACGAGACAAACGACCTCCCCAACACGGCCCACGAGCGCGCTCTCTCGGGCGGCGCATCCAAGGTCATGGAGGGCAATATGACGGTGCCGCTATGCCTCAGCTTCTGCAGCAGCGGCGCCGATAAGCAGTACACCTACGCCGGCGTCGAGTATTCCCGGTACGTGTTCTCACTCTTCTCGCTTCTCTCCCCCTCCCTTCTTTCCTTCAAACCTCTCCGATAAGGCCATGCCCGCTGTGTGTGTGTAAGACGATAAACAAGACTGACGAGTTCAAACGTGCGTAGCGAATGCTGGTGCGCCCAGAGAATCTCGGGCCTGGCGGTCAAGCTCGACGATAGCCAGTGCAACCTGCCCTGCGACGGAAACCAGGGCATGGTCTGCGGCGGTGCGCTCAAGTTGAGCGTGTACATGGTCAGCGCCGGCTTGCGATCGTCGCCAGCAGCCGCGTCGTGGGCCGCGATTGTCGTGGGCGGCTTGGCGACGTACGTATTGCTGTAAAATGTGATGGTCTAGTGATGAGGTGTCTTGGTGGTGATGGGAGAGAGCCTCTTCGAAGGACGAAAGAATGGTTACACGACAGCAGCGTTTTATTGTTTCTTTGGAGGATACCCCCTGTTATGTGTGCATCTGGCCTATAGAATCTCTGAATTGATGATTTTGTCTCACTCTCGCAGCGTAAATCTCAACGTGCATCTCACATGTGAGGTCAAAAGTCAGACATCACGATGCTTTTTTCCAATTGCCGCCTCAGAAACACTGCATAAGGTAAATCAATGCCAAACTGCAAACGCAATCAATGGTATCCTATCATAACTTCGTGACGTATGCGATAGCCTTACAATCTCACGGGACCCAAGCCTCTTTGCTCAACAGCCCTCTGGACAGCCGCTTTGATATCCACGACCGTCTTCCTCCACCCCTGCTTACCCCGTCCCTCGCTGCCGTCGTCCTCCACCAGCCAGTCGAGCCACCGCACCAGCTTCGAGGCCTTTTGCATGTCTCGCTCCTCCGAGACGACCCTGACGAGATACTTCTCAAAGACCTTGACATCGTCTTGATGCGGCCCATCGTACCGCGTCCCGTCGTGCCAGGCCTCGAGCATGTCTTTGATCTCCTGGATGGACTTCACGGCGGAACCCATGAAGTTCATCTTGGGGGGCGGCGCAGGGAAATGCAACTTAGTCTGTCCAGCGGGCGCAGCGTCGCTCGACTCACCATTCTGTTGCCTCCTGGGGGCGTTGAACAGGAGACCAGATCGTTTGGCCAGCCGCTTCTTGCGGTGGTCCTCGATGATCTCCTTCCGGACGTCCTCTGGGAGCTCTGCGAGGAATGCTTGATCCAGCTCTTCTGGGTCTTCTTCCTGGGCGGCATTCGCAGGGCCTTTGTTCGCCAAGAAGTTCGTCTGCTGGCGATTGGCAGCTGCATCCTGCTGCCTCTCCCTGACGTTGAACAAGTTTTTGCCTCGCTTTGTCGGCGTGATTGGCTTTTTCCCCTGGATAAGTCGGTCCTTGCGTGGTGATTGCGGCAAACGGGTTTGTTGCACCGGTTTGCGTCCATACTGCGCCAGGACCTCAGCTTTCATGTCATCCGGCAAAGCGTTGAAGACCTCCGGGTCAACTTGAGATGGGATCATCTCATCCTGAACCGCCGGACTATTACTCCGCGATTTCACTTGGGGAGATGCCTGTCTAGACTCCGGCTTTGGTCTTTGGCCCCTCAGAAGCTTAGCTCGTATGTCGCCTGGCAGCTCAGCCAACACCGCAGGGTCGACTTGGGAGGGAAGGATGAATTGAGTGCCCATGATGTTGAGAGGAGTGTGGGCCTTTTCGTCCCTTTCACCAGCCCGTGCTAGAGCCAAAGCAGGATGCACTTTGGGCTTTCTGGGTGTTAACGGGTCATCTGCAATGGGATCTACAGACACATCGCCCCGAGTTTGGGCATCCCTTGTCTTCTGAGGACTCTTTGAATCCTCAATCGATTCTACTTGAGCCTTCTTTGCCGACGGTTGGCCACCAAAATTTGGAAATGCCAACCGTCGTTGACTGCTTTCGAGCCCAGTATTGCTAGACTTGAGAGGCTCCAGTTTTGTCAACTGGACACCAAGACCTCGAAGGTCACCCGGGGTAAACTTGTAGGATCGAAGAATCGAGACAGCTTCCTTGGCAATGGTTTCGGCGTTGTGAGTTGCGACTCCAAACAGGACGCTCTTGCTGAATGAATCGCATTTTCCATGCCCTAGGTGTTTTGGTGGATCTCGGGGTGCGTCTTGAGCTCGTCGCATAATCTTCATTGTGAACTGCTTGCCCTTGACCTCTTCACTGAGCAGGCGTCTCTCCAGCTCTTTGCACAGGTTGAGTATAAACTCTTCGGCTTCCTGTTGATTGATGAAGCGAATTCCCCAGTTGACCTCTGCCGAGACGGACTTTCGAGGTGTTTGTTCGCCCACCTCGGTCTTGTCAATGCCGCGAGCATACTCCCAAAGTTTCTCTCCCGTCTTTGGTCCAAGCGCAGAAGATAGCCGCTCCTTAGATACCTGTCTGATATCTTTGACAAACTTGACACCGATCTCCTCGAGCTTTCCACTAAGACTGTAGGCGACCCCAGGCAGGTCCTTCACCTCAAGTTCACCAATGACTTCTAACGCCTGCTCCGGCTTTATCTGGAATTGCCCGGCTGGTTTCGCTCTTCGTAGCGCGACCTTCGCCAACAAAATATTGGCCCCAATTCCAACTGATACGGCGCAGCCAGTCGCGTCTTTGATTTTGTTACGCAGGGTGAGAGCAATCTCCTCAGCCTTTTCCTGTTCTCTCCAGATATTGCCTTCGTCAACCCCTGCGCCATCGGATCCGGCAGAGGACAGAATGATTGACGTGATGTCAACGAGGGCCTCGTCGATGCTGACACTCTGGACAACTCCTCCAATATCGAGAATAGACTCGTAGAACAGTCGACTGGCTTCTTCATACGCGGGGAAATCGTATGGCAAGACCTTGATATCCGGGCACAGCTCAAGTGCTCGCTTCATCCACATGCCATTCTTGACTCCAAATTTACGCGCGACGTAGTTACAGCTTGCAATCTCCGAGGCCGTGCCGCTGCTGTGAGCAACTGCAGTTGGTTTGTCGACGTATTGTGGGTTCTTCTTAAGGGAAACAGCGCAGAAGAAGCTGTCAAAATCGACGTGGATAACGTACCGCCGTGACCCTGGCCTCCTCCGCACCGACTTGAGAGAAGGCCCTTTTTCCTTGGCGAGATTCTGCATCTTGGACTTCAGCTCGGCTTTCCAGGTCGAAAGATGG